CGCGGTCACCTTCGCGTGGAGGAGCGTACGTCACACGGGAGCAGCTTGAGTTCGTCGTTTGATGTACGTAGGAGTAGGAACGTTGAATCCAAGGAGATATTCCGAGAGATGGGAGAGCTTAATCGTTTGCAGGACTTCTCCGAATTGTTTTCAAAAAACTGTATTCCAAGAGAATCGTATGCTTCCTCTGACATCGTGTGAATTTTCGATTTGCAGATCGACTTCACGAGTAGTATGTTCAACTTCTTCTCTTCGTTCAACGGCCTCAGTCTCAACGACACGGAAATCGGTCTCTTCTGTGCAGTAGCTCTCCTGAGTAATGGTCAGTACAGTGCCCTGTTTCTTTCGCCCGATCGGAAGACTCGAATTCTTCGTTTGCCTCTCGATCAGGCACAGGTTTCAGCCATGATAATAATAAACCGCTCCTTCGCTTCCCAGCATTCTCGGAGCGAACGACACTATTCGACGCCCGAACCGTGGAGCAATGTCAGGCCCGACTTGTCGAAGCTCTAAAACTCCAAGTTATCCGGAATCATCCATCTGACCAACAACTCTTCAGTCAAATCATCGCGAAGCTGCCCGAACTCCGACAGCTAGGCAACCGGCACGCGGACCATCTCCAATGGTTCAGAACTCGTTGGGAGAGACTCTCGCATCTGCAGCCCTTGTTCGCCGAAATCTTCGACATCCCTCTCACGCAAGCGTAGTGAACAGCTGCAACACCTTAGTTTTGTTGCCGTGGCTAGTTGTTTTAAATCAAATCTCCATCCTGACTCAGATTCATTCTACGCTCGAGCTCTTCTGCGCGGCCAGCATCTGCAACTCGAGACACTTCTCAGAACTCGCGGAGCCCTGCGTTCTTCTGTTGGCGGGTCTTGTTCGAGATACTGAGCGCAGCGCGAATCGCAGTTTCCCCGGAGTCAAGGAGAGTACCATAGCAGGTGTTTGAGGAGCCACCTGCTGGTGTTGTTCGGGATCCATTATTTCTTGTTTGACATGCTTGACAAACAGTCAAACCGCGAGAATCCGCAGGTGTAGACGCTCTGGAAGTCGTTCGACGTCGAAAGCTCATGGCGGGGCGTGATCGAGTGCCCTGTCTGTTCTCCCGGTCGTCTGGAGGAGTAGATTGCTAATGATTGCGTGTACACAAAGATGATTATTGAGCCGGAACGTCGCTTGTGGCCTCGTCGCTGCCCGACAACGTTACCAATTGTTCCAGTGATAATGTCGGCGAAGACCGAGTCTCAGCGCGCTTCTAAGTCAGATGGTGCCTTGCCGGCATTCTAAGTCGTACTTACTAGGATAGAAACGGCTCATCGCCCCCTACAACCCAATGGATGCGAAACATTGGTGTCAGCGAATGTTCGATGTACGCACTCGCATTTTCCAGAATTCTCGAAATCTCATGTTCGCGCGGAGATCGGGATTCTATAATCTATATCCATAAGATATCCGAAAAATATCCTCCTCCCACCTTAATATTCGCGTGTTCGTCCGCAATGACATCGATCATCGAGAAAATATCGTCGCAGCCGATGAAACCGAGTCCGTCACGCGCCCAGGTCTCGGGAAAAACCTCCTGGAATTCGGGCGTAATGAAACCGACCGGGCATTCTTCTGAATCCATCCATCGCCCGATCGGCACCACCCGTGGCGACCATCGTCCCGTCGGGTGACGGGTGCGACAACATCCACGAAACAGATATTTATAGAAAGGGCGTCGCGCATACAATAGTACATGCATTTGACTATGTTGTTGAACCTTGATCCCACATCTATACTTTGTAATGGCATTCTGTGATAACTCCCATCTACGAGGACACTCATAAACTTTTAGTAACGAGCATCATTCGTCGAGAACGCACGCGTTTCGACTTTGCGACTGTAGGTACGTAGACGCCCGTGTCAAGCGGAGGATCATCAAGTGTTTTTCATTTATCAGATAGGAACGCCGCTGCCGTGAACTGTACCCCACCGCCTTCAAGATCGAATTCCCAGAGATCTCTCTGAATTCCCCATTCCTCTTCCAATGCTAAGTTCAGCATATATACACCATAGATAAGGTATAGCTTTGTGCTACCGGGAGATCGCTCCCCGTGAGTTCTTCGAGGCATCGGTAGGGATGCGTCATTCTACGAGGACCACCTCGGAGGGAGTTTCCTTCTTCGGGTGATCACCGAAGCCCCTCATTGATAATAAGCGTCATCGGAGAACGAATTTGGGACACACGGAATGATCTGGTGTACCAATGATCGCATCGCGACGATGGGACACAGTGTTTTCGGTTCGCCTGCTAGAGACATCCATTTGAAAAATCAACTGCCAAATAGGGTTTTCTGCAATTGATCATTTCTTCCTCACACCATCTCTGCGCAGGAACCCTGGAAACTGCTGCCCGTACTCGCGTTACCGCATATCCGTGCTCCGGATCTGCGAAAAAAGGGAGTCGGTCTGACTCCGTCCAGCGGCTTCGGGTTCCGGGCTCGACGACTCATGATTGCTCCCGGGATATTACATTCAACTTCCGCTGTCGATGTTCAGAGTTCAGACTGCTGTACGAAGGAGTGAAGGGTCCATGAAGTTTAATACTTCGGCTATTTGAGCGGAGGCTGATTCGATATCGCATAAGATCGTGGCGGCGGACCGGCAAAATCACTTGGGTGTTTAGTCAAGTTACATTATTTATTATATTTAATATCCATGATTATGGTGGTCATGCTCTGGACGACACTCCGATGATGATTCACAAGGATTGAACATGTTCTTCTCGGCTTCTCTGGAGCTCAGACAGTTATGTTTGATTGATAACGATGGTAATATTATTGAAAACACGTTGATGGAATCATGAGGAATAACGTACTCACTCTCGGTATATTCAGCAAATCCTGTATCGTGTAAGGCGGAGCGACTTAGGTACGATGGAAGCGTTCGCTTTCTTGAAAGAGGAATCGAATATTGAAATTGAAACCGAAAACTCACCTAAATTATTGTAAACCACTACAGTTTTCCTGCTGGGAATAGAACAAATAAAAAGTATGTATCCGAATCGGAAAAAGAACTCGTGTTTCTGGGTATTATTCCACGATTTTCTCGTTACCGAGCCTGAGGTTCCTGAGGAAACACTGATGGAAATGTATGGCTCATCTTCCCATCCTCATGCGCTTAGATTCGATACTCATGATCTCGTGAACATGTAATGGGCGAGCAATCCTGGACTCAGTCGCGATACACCTCGCTCACAAACATCGAAAGGTAATTAACCTGGGTGAGCATTCATTGGATTAAGTTTCTTTGCATCAACTCCACTCCTCAGCTCTCTTCGGTTTCAAATCACGAAGGAACACAACTCAGAAGTTCATGCAGGAGTATCAAATTCATAACCTTCGAATTCCTGCGGGCGAAGACCCCGATCCATTCGAGCTCGTAACCTTGACGGGATTCCCATTGAAGGTCCAATGGTGCTCATTTTTCCTCCCGTGGCTCCGACACGAGAGGAATATCGGTAGTCTCATCGATATTCCCTCAAGCTATTCGCGCGAGGCATGTTACCCACGGGGTGTATGGTAGCCACTCGATTCAGATAGGTAGGATTTCTTCATCCTCCCGCTCAGCGAGAAGCTTGAAGCATGAAGCGTGCTTCTGCTGCCCGAAAAATATGCTTTTATTCACAGAAATGCACGAGTGATATCGATAAGCCAGAAATTCCCAAACTAATCCCCATAGAGGACCTCCATATCTGCGGAAATCATCATCTCAGGAGCTTGGCCAATCTTCGATGATCAAACGACTCCACATCGTTCAGAAGATTCAAAATCGCTTCGAAGCGTGAATCGTTTCTATCTGCGGCATTTTGTCGCACTGAAGCAGCATATCCATTTAAATCTTGAGTTACAATCATCACAAAGAAAGCTTTGAGCATATCGACAACGTCAAAAATTTCTGCGCGGACAAAATGATAGTTCCACCAATAGTTCCTCTGCGTCATCACGTCGACCGTTTTCCGGTATTTCCTGCGGAGCAGAGAAATTATTAGAATCTCCGATGCCAACAAGTGTACAGTCCACAGAGTTCGAGTTCGGAGGATTTGGATGGACTCGCGCAAGAGAGCGATCCGCCGCTCATTCCGGGAATACACCGGGAACGTATCAGGACGCTCACCTCGCATAAATCAGGGCAGAACATATCAGAGTCCATCCCTTCAGGCACCGTCTGCGATCCCAGTGATCGAGATACTGAGCAAGACGCATGGCGACGTCCTTGATATCCGCGACTTCCCCCAAGGAAAGAATATTCTCCGCGTACTCAAGGACCACCTCGTCCCCCGGTGAAATTTGAATGATCTTCCGCATCGTAGCTAATTGCCGGACCTTGCCATCAGCGTCCACTCGTCGACGAAGCACCTGGAAAAGCGACGCCGAGGTCAGGGCTCTGGTGGAACTGTCTCCGGTCTATGGTTGATGACCCACGCGGTCAGCATAATGAATTTGTTAGAAAGGGAGAATCCGATTGGATTAGTCCATCATTCCTGGACATCCTTAATACCTCGTGATAGAACAAGAATCCTGTCAGATGCTCCGGGTTCCGATTAATGTAGGACTTCAAGAGCTGATCGAAATTGAGCTCTTCGTCGAGTGTTGAATAATACCGCGCAACGTCTAGGAAAACGTCGCCAGCCACGTTAGGGACACTGAGCGCGGCCTTGAGATACTGTCTTATTTTCGAGCGCTGGTCTTCGAAATTGGCCTCTTGAAACTCCACGAGTACCTCGTCATCCCTTCGTTGAGCTTTCACGAACTCTCGGATGTGAAGCGCCGCGATGTAGCCCATGAATACAGCAAGGAGGGGACTAGCTTCGTTTCCTTCTTCTTTGGTGAATAGATGTTTGTCTGCGTATCTTGTCAGAACTTCAAACTCGTGGGTCATCTCGGGGTGTTGCATCATGATCATCAGAAGCTCGAGGGCTGCGAGACATCGTATCCTCTGATCGATTGGCAGTACGCTCACAGCGAAGTCGGACATGAGTTTTCGGTCGAGTTTGTAGTGAAGAGCGCAGAACAGATGTGCTCTGAACGGAGGAATGAACCCAAGAATCCAATTTCCACTGCCCAAGAGGTTCGCTAGGTGAGCTAATGCCCACGGACGACCATGTCTGAAACAGTATCCGGAGAGTTCCATCGCTTTTATCGGGGAAATCGCCATCCAGAACTGCCGGGACGGAAGTTTGCTGTCACTGTAGACTTCTCTCAAGGCAGAGGATGATGACGAAGAGTCTTCATCAATCGGGGTCGAGCCCCCGGATGAGACATCGCTATCCTCGGCGCTGGATTCACCTTTAACAGCCCTCGATCTCCGCCTCTTACGAGTTGTGCCTCTAGGCATCTCGCGAGAGTTTCTGGAAAAGTTTCGAGAGGAGAGCTGAGAACAGTGCGCGGGCGATTCTTCTTCACAGATGGGGAAACGTGGATGGAATTCATTAACAAATTCCTATCGGACGAATGCGGGGCGTTGGAAGCGGGAATGCATAAAATGAGGTCGGAGCATGACGAGGGATCTATCCATGGAAGAGAACAGTCCCCAGCGGACGAAGTTCAAAAGGGTTTGAACACCGGTAATCGGTAGACCTTTACCGTACATATTCAATACGGCAAGTTTTACGGGAGCGAAACGATTAGAGGCCCCGTGGCGAACTGGCGACCTCTGAAGAACTGGTCCCAGTCGGGGGGTTCGAGATTCAGGTACCACAGACGTGGAGCGAGAAATCTGGTGAATATCCCCGCTGCGACTCTGTCCCTAGTTGGTACTCACCGAAAACAGAAGGCGAACACGTCGGTTGTGGTGTTTCAAAAGACCGGTTCCAGTCTCATCTACAATGCCGAATCCTCTAAATGAGCGTTGAACCCCATCATATGGAGTATAGCACGTGTTTCTCCGATCCGCGCTGTCGGCAAGGCCGCTGGACTAGTGTTCCCGAAACCGAGATGAATGAAGCTTCTGTCTCAAACCACCAAAGCTTCCATTGAATAGCTTCGCGTCGTTGAGGAACAGAGGGGACCCTCTCCCATTAGAGAGTTGCCCTCTCTAAGAATCGCATGGACAGTCGGATGTTTTGCGAAGAGTTTCGCATTTCTGTTCGGGTCCTGATATGAAACCGTTGCAAGCGTTTTTCGTGGTTGCTGCTGTATCAGCGGCCTATGCCCTGAGCTGGCATGATGTTAGGGTGAGTTTTCTCCCATTGATTTTTTCCTTCGACGGCGTTACGTGGCGCCGCCTGTTGACGTTCTAAATAGATGAACAACTTCCAAACTCACTTCGAGCAAGCGAACAGGTGTTTTCGAAAAGTCTGATATCCCTCTCCAACGACCTCTCAAGTCATGATGTCCCGATTGGGATCATCTGGTTGCGGCGTTCGTCATGCTTCCGATCTCAATACTTTGATTGTTATTGTAATCACAGGGTTGCGTTAGACATTCGAAACATCTGATCGTGATTGGGAAGCGCGGCACTCCTCTCGATCAGCTGATTCTGTCAGTGATATCGTTTTTCGATTCGAACACGAATCTACTTCATTCAAAGCAGCCGAAAGAGTGGCTATGCCGAGGCTATCCCGGAAGTGAACGCATAATTCGTTTGAGCCGGGATCCCTGAGCGAGACATGAGTTTCAAGTTTCGTATGCACGCTCCAAAAGCATGCGTATCGCACAGATTTAACCCAGAGAAGCTCGAGTTGTCTGAATATCGTTGTGGTCCATATGAATCCTGCATGGAGGTAGGCGGCAGCAGCGTGCCGTGATCTTACAACATCCCCAAAGAATGTATCACCCCATACGGAGCTTTCTGAGCATCGACCGAAGCAGGATTGTGATCATTGAAGGATCGGTTAGACTTGACACCGGTCCCAGATATAGAGCCTATTCCGGAGGATATTGAATCCGAAAACCATTGCAGGCCCACGGCCGAACTACTGCCGCTGTCGTTGTGACAGCTTTTTGCACCTATTATGCGACGCAGTTTCAACAGTCCGCGCCCTTAGTTGACGGCGAAGTGGACGGAAGCGAACCGGTCAGAGCCAGCGACGGGAGGGTACGTGTTGTTTGGGGACGCTTTCGCATTTTGCTTTGGGGTCTCGGTCTCCAGCTCGATGATGTAATCGCAACATCCTTCCCCTGTGCGCCTCCCCACGTATACGGCATCCCGTTTCCCCCCGACCCATGCTCGAGACAGGAAGAGCTCTTTGAGGTTCCATTCATCGCCAGCTAGAATCTTCCGAGCGACGGCGCCGTATCCTGCGAGTCCATTGATGCGAGAGTGTCATCTATCACGTGAAAAACAGCTCCAAGAGATGGCCTCTCCTCAATATATGTTTTCTTCCCAAAATACTTGAATGGACAATCCGGCTGTAGGGTGACATGTTTATTGGTGATGGTTCGAAACAATATCGGCGGCAGGTTTATAGGTCGTATGGCTCGGCGACTCCGCTTCTCGCTCCACAAACTCCGACAATCCGAAATTACGAGCCCGATCAAGTCGTCGAAATCATGACATGCAGAGCTCGGAGCTTCTACTGACTGAGTATGATCGCGACTTGTAGCTCTCCGCAAGCACCGATGGCGGGGAAACGCTTGAGCAAAGTACCCTTGTCAGAAGAGTTTCCCGCGGGGTTTATTCTAGGAAGGGGCGTTTCATGCAACACGCGATGGGATATTGAGTCACGAAGATCAAGTTTTCATAGATCCTTTCCGAGGTAACTTCATCCACCCACGCGAGTGTCAGGGAGCTCCTTTTGGGGCGCATTTTCAGTTCGGAGATATTGCTGGGAAACTCCCGTCTTGATAGAGAAGCAGGTTAGCCATCGTCGAGGAACTCATCAGTTCCCTTTATAGCTCGCGACCTGACCCTGATTATCGGCCCGCATTCTGGCTACTCCGAACGTCTCCCGCGGTGTGATGAGAACATACGGAGCTCACCAGATTAGAATCTTCCTCAATTCCGGGCCGACGCGACGAGGAGACGAGCCCTCAATTCTCGGCAAGAACACATCATGCGACCTGCCGATCAAGGTCGATCGAGTGGCTCGAGTCGCCGCGCGGATCCCTGGGGATCTTCCGCTGGAGGCAGTGCTCGATCCCCGCGATCGGGAGCGAGGAAGATTTCGGTGGAGCAGAGTTGCTGCGTGCGCCTCAAATCCTCGCAGCTAATTCTCTCATCGAGTCAGAGCCCTACTCGACGCAAATTCTGTTCCGCACAACATCTTTAGTTGTGGAGCACGAAGACTAGAAACAGTAGGGAGATTTCAAAGAGCGAGTTGACCGAAACCGGCACGGGGTGCACCAATCTCGATGGGCGGTAAGAAATCCCGGGGAGCTCGGCTGCCTCGTGATTTATGTATCCGCGCATTGTTCGGGTACATCCACGTCCGAGCCCCGCCACTGTCGCGATATGGCCGCCCACGCCTAGCTCATGACGTCGTAATCTCACCATACGATAGAGAAGCTCCGGACTGACCTTTCGCCAGGTACGCCAGTCACATCTCGTTTGAGCTTCAGCCCCGCCAGAGGGAAGATATGAGAGAATACGATTCTCTTCAATCTGCTTGAATCACGAATTCCGCGTTCCGGATATCTTACCTTTAGTGTTGAGACGCAGTATCTCGATATATTCACTCACTCCAGATGGAACGTACTCGAGATCTTACGGATCAATGCTTGCGAAACGGAAGAGTTCTGTTTCTCGTGGACACTTTAGCTCCTCTATGCAACTTCCTTTAGTCCTGCTGACAAACAAGATAGAACGTGAGGCGGTCTCTGCGAGTGGCGCATCACAATAGATCAGAGGGAATCGTCTCTAAAAAGCGCTATCCGTCGTTCGGAATCTCGTTTTTTTCTGCACACTTCCGATCTCGATCCCGTCTGAGCGTGACACGCGACGCGACAGGTCGTATGGCGCTGCAGTTTTTCCTACGGCGTTCAGACTTGCTCACTCTCATCTAATAAGAGATCGTGGATCCGAGTGGTCCAGACACAATGATTTGGACCTCTCCTCGCCTGGCTGTGCTCGTGTTCGGAATCTTCTGGATTTACGGGGTAGCGGCGACCTCGAGGAGAGCGGAGCGGGAAACCAATGGAACGAGCACTGTGAGTTTCCCGGGTCGCTCGCAATGAGTACTTAAGTCCGAGTTAATTAAGGAGTCGCTGAGCATGAGCGAAGAGGGGAATCTGAATTCTAGAGGGACGAAACGTCATTCTTTCATTTGTTCGGAAGTTTCGTGGGAAATTTCATGCCCGGAGTTTTGCCGGATGAGCCCCGGACAGGATCCCTCTGCCTCGAAAACCAGAAGATCCACGAATCTCCATCATCGATAAGGTCTCATGGTTTCCAAGTCAGGCCGAGGTGTTATCCCAATTGTGAGATCCTCTGATGTGACCGTTTATCAACTCTCTCTCCGCCGCACCGCCGCACCGCTCATACTCTGCTGTCGCAAAAGAGTGAAAGATTCCAGCTCATATGCTTTGCTCCGTGAGATGAAAGTCATAGGATTTAGCTGCCTCGAGGAGCACACCTTCGATGCACGACCTTATGGTAGCTCGATTTATGAGGTTGGGAGCCATAACAATAAGTCCCGGGAAGTGTCTGTGTCGCGACTTCTCTCTGTGCCCGAGGGGAATGGCCATCGCCTGATTAATTTGCCATGAGAGATCATCGGTACCGAGCCGACCCAGAGGACCTCGCTCATTGGATGTCAGAGTGAGAACTCGCCCAGGAATAGACAGAGAATCTCGACAGTACGGAGAGAGGCCTGCTCCGCTCCAGAAAGGAAGCGAGAAAAGGAGTCGGGTAGCAGGCCTCGCCTCGATCCTGCGAATACTCCACGACTCTGTAACGCGGAGTCGAATCGTTGGCACCGCTCATCGCGACGCGAGAGAAGTTCTTGCCTCAGCATTCGCAGCGGCCCCATCGCAGCTGCGTCCTTCCCTCGGACTCAAATCTCTCAGAGCTCAAACGCCAGTCTGAGGCTAAAAAGGGGAGATCGACAGGTCTCCGAGGGACTATTGGTCTTCAATTGCACATAGGAAAAAGAAGAATGGGTTTTAGAGACGCGGGATATGGATGCATATCCATCTCGAATGCCGGAGACCTTCACTCTCGGAGAATCGAAGTAGAAACCCATGACGGAGGAAATATGAGAGTTGATATTCGGCGAAATCAATGGTCCGAGTATGCTCGGTGATCCACCCGGACATACGTCTGAATGAGCTATCGGAGCGACCCGCTCCAATACGCCTCAGGAAATATGAGCATAAGGAGAACGTGTTCTCGTTCCCGGTACTCGTTCTTCAATCGGCGAGACACGTGGAGAGGACTCTCGAACAGAGAAACCGGTCCAGGACCACAAACTAATTCCAGCTCCTAGATAGTTCATACGTCCGTACTTCGATAGAGCGAGATGAAAGAAGAAAAAAAAAAAAAACATTTCCCTCTTCCGCTCCCCTGCAGCAACGGCTACTGTGCCGAGTGGCAACGTGCCGGCCGAAGAAAGTGAGTTTCGCCAGCTCTCCCATCAGACGATGCTCTCAGCACGGAATGTGTCTCATGCAAAAAGTGGATCTGTCCGATGTCTCAGTGATGGCTGTCCTCTTATCACTATTCAATTAAGTTCGGTGTAGCATCACTCTTTATCAGCTTATCGGGGCTGACATTATCTGGCCCTCGGCTGAGGATCTTGTGAATTTCACGAAGTCTGTCCCTTCGACCGTCAATCGTTCACATTCTCCGTTGGTGCTGATTGTGACGAGCTCAACTCTTCCACTCAATCGATACCCTGCCACGAAGAGTTTGTCTTCCGAAGAAACAAGCGAAGCATCCGTCTCGTTCAATGTAACCTCAGCACCTGAATGTACTGCTATCCTTCCCTTGATTATACTCTCGGTCTTCGGCAGCGAATCTAATAAACTCCGAGGGGAAATTGAGGCTTAGATAGGGATTTGTGAAATTACCAGAGTGTGCGTCATCGGAACGAATATTTACTCATTACAACGAGACAGGCTTCTACGTAGGCGTCATTCGGACACGCTCGTCCTGGCTAGTCCTAGTTTGTTCTCGGGCTTTTTCCCTCCTTATGTCACCTATTTTCGGGGAAAACTTTCTCGACGAATATCCGGGAAACCTTCTCGACGTATATTCAACGAGTCGTTGTGTTGAGACTCATTGTCGCTTCGATGGTTGCACTTCCGATAGACTGTTTGAAACTCCTTCCTCGTTTGTTCGATGTGTGTTGGTGGCCGTCTCTGTGGGGGTGACAGTTTTTTTTTGTCTAATTGCCTGTTGTCGTCTTCGATTGCCTATGTTCACAGTCTATTCTACAGTGGCCTCGGCAAGCGGCCCCGCTCGCGGACGAAACCCTGAGGAGGATCTCCGCGGTCTTTGACGCGAAAACGACCCTGCAACATTTCAACGAAACCCTGGAGCAGATCTGCGTTGTGCGACAGCCTGGAACCGAAGCGCACAGTAGAGTCCGTGAGGTAAGTTCTTGTATTATCCGCTGTCGAGATTGAAACGGCCGTGACCACACGGAGAAGTTTATTTCCCTGAAAAGCAGCACGCTGAGATCGTCGCTCGTGCCGTTTCGAGCCTCAGATGGTCAGCTCGAGTCCTGTACCTCTCACAGCCGAATAGATCTAATGCACAAAACGTGTTTTCGGGAAGTCAAGTGCGGTCATGACCCGAGCTTCGGTTATCAAAGCATGTTTGTGTCTTGGTCGGTGCGTAGTACAATCAGGAAAATTGGAGTGAGTCTCCTCAGGCTACGGAGTCCGTTCACGGCATAAGCCTGTCTTCCAGCTGTTCATTTACGGAATCTCCGATGCGGACCGTCGATCCTTGCTTTAGTGGTCTTGATAATGAATTCATAAAAAAACTGGGATCGGCCGCATGATATCACTGGATGAATTATGATAGGTTCTCCCCGAAACTCATATACATCATTGAGAATAGCACGTCATACTGATCATATTTATATCACTTATGATGTAGGTCTGAGAATATCTGATGAGTGATGATGATCGTGTCGCTTGAGTCTCCAGTTTTTCCTTTAGTTGATCGTGAACGAAATGAAGACTCTCGGATGGACTGTTGACGAACACTCCTTCAGCGACGATACCCCTCATGGACGAAAGCCTTTCACCAATATCATTGCGACTCACGATCCGGAAGCGTGTCATCGTTTGGTGCTGGCTTGCCATTATGATTCGAAGGTGAGTGGAAACAGCGAGGAATGGGATATGTCGGCATCGATCCCGAGAGAACTAGTTGATCCATCTAGATCCGACCAATGACCGAGATTCCAACACCAAAGGTCATGGACAATTTCGTCGGAGCGATCGACAGCGCCGTTCCTTGCACTCAGATGATCAGCATCGCCAGAGGGCTTCAGAGAGATTTGGACGCGCACAAGGATGGGGTTAGTCTCTACTCCGGCCATGGATCGTCCCAGACTTCAGAGACTGCGTCGGCGTCGTATTGAACGGAATGGTCTTTTTCTTCACAGGAGGCCGGCCTCACCCTCCAACTTTTGTTTTTTGACGGGGAAGAGGCTTTTGGAGAATGGTCGAGCACCGACTCGCTCTACGGGTCGCGGAGTCTCGCGGAGACCTGGCACTCGACTCGTTTCTCGTACTCCGAAAAAAACCGATGCAGGATGTCGAACAAGAACATCGTCTCCGAATTGGATAGGATTGAGGTCTTGGTTCTTCTAGATCTCATCGGCGCTAAGAATCCGAACTTCATGAGCTATTTCGCCGACACCAAAGAGGTTAGTTGAACTCTGAACCGGAATTCCGAACAAAATCGGAGCTTCATTGAGCCCTCAAATCGTAAATTGTACTCTCCGTAGCTCTACGATCGGCTCGCGAGTGCCGAAGGCCGCTTGAACCAGCTCGGTTTGGTGGAGGGTCGGACAAAATACTTCTCCGGGCGGAGCGTTTTCAGCGCGATAGAAGACGATCACATTCCGTTCATGCGAAAAGGTAAGGGCGAAATCTCGGCTGAGTCAGAACGCTTCCAGAGATTTTTTTCGATAATCCTCCGTCGATAACTTCGTTGGTAACACCGCTTCCTCCTCTTCAAGATGTCCCTGTCTTGCATATCATCGACGCTCCATTCCCGGCGCAGTGGCACAAAAAAGTGATAACATGCGGAACCTCCACCGGCCGACGATTCGGAATCTGAACAAGATTTTCGCCGCTTTCGTGGTGTCGTATATGAGCTTATAGGATTCGATGAAAGGGTCCCATGTCGACCTCTGACAGATCTGTGCAATTCCCACCGAGCTTGGCGCTTGAGGATCAGACCCCCACGGGGAACGATCGAGAGTTGCGAGCACCCAGAAGAAGAGACTCTGACCCTATTGGACAGCCAAGAAGCATCGACCAAGGAATATGTCGACGAGCGAGGTTGCCGACGTCAGCGATCTTCAGTTATAGTTTTGTGATATTGTCATCATAGTTACGACCTTCGACCTCAAGCCGGAGAACACACAATCATACGAGTGAGCGAACGCAGTATGACTTGAATATAATACGTTATATATTCTATTCCATCAGTGATCAAGTTGGGAATTGAGATGACACACATATGTGAGACACAAGCCTGTTCTGCGTTCAGCTGAATGATTATTTTCGTGCATCCTCGAGAACATAAAAAAACGTAATCGAAATAAGTAGAAAGAGAAGTCAAAGCAGAAGCAAGAATATGAGACGGAGAGGAATGAATAAATTTTATGATGAGGAGAGAATAACGTGGAGGACTTGTTTCCCGTAGATGAGAGGAAAAACAAGGAAAGGAGAACTCGGTCATTCACGAGGATAGTTTCTTTATTCCTTCGGAGCTCCGTAACGCTTGTAGAGAAAATCAGAGGCGCGGGATCGACATAATATATATCAGATCACTTTGTACAGGATCTAGTACTTCATATGGGAGAGGGTAAACCGTGGTTTCTCGAGTTTTCACTCATCTGACTTGTTTCTCTCGCCTTGGATACTTTGGTTTCCTAGAAAACAGCTTTATGCACACTTATGCATTTCCCTTCATTCGCTCGCACAGACACACACTGACCCGTATCCGGAGCTCAACACTTCTCTCACCACTCCTTCTCTGAATCCGGTTCAAGGCGAAGTACTATCGACTACCCGAACAATCACTCATTCTCACACAAAATAAGAGAGCCGTCCGGCACGTCGAGCCTCGTGACAGGAGCTCACGTTTGGTAATAAATTGCTCCCCTTATTACAGTATAAGTACCCGCCTCGTTCTCGCTCTCACTGTTCTCTTTAGGGTTCTCTGAAGTACCTGCTCAATGAGATTGCGACTAGTCTCATCGTGCTTATCTAGTCTCACTAGGGTTCATTATGAAATCGAATCGACTCGACTTTACCCCAAAGTCTCCTCAACCCATCCCCCTCCCCCCTCTACCATTCCCGCTGATTTCACACGCAAGAATTCTCTACTTTATAATTATTGTTTTCGGTGGTTGGCCAGCCGTATGCGCTGACTGAGGCTTCCTGATCCTGACGAGGGCTTTTCTCATCGAGAATCGGGATCTCCGCTCATCGGTGGATAATCTGATTTCGTGCGAAATATACTTGTGCAGATCACGTGGAGGACGTGTTTCGTATTCACAACATTTTGTCATGTATGCCGATGGGTAGCAGGATTATCAACAGTATTATCACGTTTCTCAGCAGTTTTCGGCCGTCTTGAGGCACAGCGTATTTGGAGAGGTAGGCAGTCAGCAGCCTGACCTCGTGCGCGATCGACACCAAAATAAACGAAGTGATGCACACATTCAGTACCGGGTACTTCGGAATGAGAACCAGCACTCCGTGGGTCCCGGCACTGAGCCACACGTGGTATTGACATACGAATAGCTCTAGGGAAAGCTCCCCGAACCAAGCGAAAAAAGCGCTGAACTTGGCTCGAATCTGACCGTAAAGGTTCCGGAGCGTAATGTAGGCGAGAATCGGCAGCCAAGAGATGTAGGGATGGACCTCGTTGCAGTCAGGCTTCTCGCCGCAATAGAAAGCGAACGTCGTCGAAATCATGAAGCTGATCACCGACACAGCGGTCATGAAGAGAATCAACAGTCGGGACCGCACGACGTTCTCGGACACCGAATCGATGATGAGACCGTGTTTCTTTGCTGAATGCAAAAGAAAGGCAAACAACATCCCGCAAGGAGTAGAGTAGCGGTCGATTTTCCAGCGGAAATACCATTCGCGCACGTTCTCGGACGCTGAGATGACAAACAGAGCTTTCCAGGGTGGCATGAGAAAGATTTTCTCGAAGAGGACCTGCGACATATACAGGAGCGTTATCGCCGAGAACAGAGCGACGAACTTGAGCACCATGTACATGTACTGTATCGGGTTCTGCTCAGCGCTCGCTGCCGTGACCCTCGGTGGCAAGACCATGGTGAGGTGAACGAGCAGCGTGCAGAACGTGACCAAGGGCACGAAGTAATAGAATTGGTACGGTCGGTTCATCGACAGACAGAGCACGAACACGAGAAGATTCAAACGAAAGACCACTTTCGCCAATCGGAATATGCTCGCGTCGCCGCCCATCCAGAAATGAGTGAAATGATTGTACCCGGTGAGGAACAGGTATGAAGTGACCAGCACGCGGACATGCATGTATATGGGGACGATCTTCGATGCGCCGGTCATGTGGTAGATGAGAACGACCAACTGCATCCAGCCTTTCCACTCCTGAGTTTGTTTCCGATGCAAAATCGTGCTCTCGCACCGTGGCTCCGTCGGAGACGTGACCAACGTCTCGGAACCTGCCTCGTGAGCGTCTGTGCACGCGATGCCGTTCGCTCGCGGCTGCTCGGTCTCGGTGAAGAGTCCGTTGCTAGGCCGACGGTCTTTCTGCTCGGAGTCGGGCTCCGAACTTCGTCGGCCCTCTTTTTTCACGTCCTCGGTGAAAAACAAGCCCAGCGCAGAGACGTAACAGATCGGTAGGAAAAAATTCAATTGAGTGAAGTATTTGTTCTCTTTCAAGAAAAAGTTCGTTCGGTCGCAAATCAAAAAATACATCATGATGAGGCCGAGTTTGCTCAACGAGTTGAAGAGTTTTGTGAGTTCTCCGTTCGGCTTCGCGTGATTCAAAGGCACGTAGCGCTGGTACTGTTGGTAGCGGTGGGCGCGCTGTAGGCGATGGCACAGAGACTGGTTCTTGATAAAGAGAATTAATGTCACCAGGAAGAAAAGACCGAAAGTCGCCATCGTCACTTTCTGGAGACCTGTTAGGGCCTCTGGCTGAGCGCAACACGTGCAATCCTCCCAACGCATTTTGTCATTACAGTACATGTTGAACATCAGCTGAATCGCGTAATCCACCGTGAAGTTGCTCGTGTGGAGCCCATCCCATCTGTAAAGCAAGGCGGGAATTTCAACTCGCGTTCGCGCCTCGTCTCTCAAAAATGTATCATCCCCATACAATGTGATGAAACCGATTTGAACACGAGACCACCCGTGTACATTTGACGACAAGCGATTTTGGCTCAACTCGATGAGAGCGGGGAATCCCTCTGATGAGTGAGAATACGCGACTCAAGTGAAAATCGGATCGAGCGGAGCAACAAAACGCGCTGCGTCACAGACGAGGGGAGTCAGACGACTCGAAGGTAGGCGGTGCCGTTTGAGTTTTAGAATCGAGCTTCAAAGACTCGGTATTGATTCTCGGAGCGCTCGTGATATCGTGACGAAATCGCAGCGTTCGCCTGAGTTCCCCGCCGCATTCGTCAATGCGTCCGTATCCATAGATCGATGAATCATCCATTACAACTGGAATCGTGTGTAGCAAGGACTTGCGGTCACGAAAGTCGTAACGAGGGCAGAAATTAGAAGGCGACAAATAGTAGATTTTTCCCTCCACGTCTACGAATGAATCCAGTGGAATTTTTTGTTGCGTTCCTGAAAGCGCATATGTCAATCAAACCCTGAGGTCCCGCGTTCAAAGAACCCCTAATTTCCATTTCCTTATCACTTTCGAAGGTCTCCCTGTGAGTCATAGGTTGTTGGGCTCGCTAATTTCCCCGAGAATCTGACCTTAGTTTCGGCTCGATGGGAGTGGACGAGTTCCCTCATCATCGGACGCGAGGCTCGTTTTTCGCGCGACTCGAGGCGATAGGAAGATGAAGAGAGACAGACGTCCAGGAGGACGGGCACCGTGATGCGAGCGAACACTCGATGGGAGCCCGATTCCCCCGAATTTTAATTCTGGCACATGCCGCGGAGCAAACCATCAGCGGAATTGTCGATTCGGCTAGAAATCGCATCCGGATGGCGGAAAGCAACGAGTTTCCTCGCAGTCGAACGGAAATTGAACCGATAGTAGGATGTTCTGGGGGAATAACTCACAATCGATATTGCTCCCGGTCGTAATAGCCACTCGCGATGTGTTTGATGGCCGAAAAAATCTGCACATCGGAGTAACTGAAAGCCTCCAGCGCTGCTTCATTGTAGAGATCCAACATGCGATTGGTGATCATCTTCCGCGATGGGTCGAATTTATCATTGTCGACCGGATCTTGAAGAACCCAGAGGACCTGGTTGATATCGGGAAGGAACGATTAGCTGATTGGATAGGGGATTTCCCCGACGCTTAGATCATCTCGAAAACGGACTCCCTTCATATCAATTGGATGGACCGACTAAATTATAGGGTTGTGGATCTAAGACTTCATCGACGTTCTGCCATCCCAATCAGTGACCCGCATCACATTTCGAAGCCCGAGCGCCTCACCAGCCGACAGCACGGGGACCTCAGAGGCATGAGGACGTCGAGACGGATTTACCTGCGTTCCAAGCTTGGTGAGTTTATCCATAAGACCTGCCACGCCGGATACATTTCGACGGTATTCGTCTAGGGCGTCGAGACTAGCATTACTCTGCTTGAGAGTCCATGTGGCGCTCCCCGAGATCAAAATGGTGGGACTCCGTTCTCGAGCTCTTTCGCGTTTATTGCCCAGCCATCGATCGAAGACCGCATACATGCTGCCGTTGACCACGGGCTGCCAGAAGAATTCCGCCTGGAAGAATGAAAAAGCGTATCAGTTTCGGTCACGATTGGTGAAGAATACTGTGAGACAAGGTAAAACATCCGAAGCTTGTCTCATATTCTCTTCCGACAACGGGAGATTCTTGGTCTGATCGAGAATAAGGCCAGCAATCCCCCATTCATCTTCTTCCGGCCCAGACCTGAACGCCGGCCGGCGCTCCCAGCTTCTTCTAAATATAATCACCCTCCCTTGGACCCGAGATCAGAGGCTCGGGAGTTTTTTCCGTCCATACGAGAGGCATGCATCCGAGAAGGCCTCTATTTTCGGTTTCTCGGCACCGTCAATGTTTCACTTCTGTCACGCGGAATCAATACCTGGATTTTCGCTCGGTGGTCTGAGTGAGTGTAGGGAGTACATATTAGTGACTCAAGTCAGATCCATGTATTGGAAGCTATCTCAGTCAGAGCATTCGGCTCAGGGTTTCCAAATGCTCTTCATCCCCGCTCTTGACGAAACTTCAAATTGTCAGAGCTCTCGACCCTATCTCGATGAAATGCCCAATGCTTGGTTGCTCTCATATGGCCACCGGTCCCCGATAAAGACCTCATCGTCGCGAGTCGATGCTTCTTCCCCCACCCAGGACGAACGAGAGCATTTTCAAAGAAGGAGGAATTAATCGCGCTCATTGGGTACTGATCTAGTTCCGGGAGTTCTCATTCATTAGACGACGTTTCTGTTCTCCAGTGCAGTCGTAAGGATGCAGAATAGCAACAACTTGCTTTGCGTTGTGGTATAAGCACTGATTCGAGTCGGAAATACAATGAATCCTCATTGGGCAGCGCTGGCATTGACGCCGATCGCGGGACAGACTCAGCCGAAGTAGTTTACAACTAGGTATAGTTGCATTCGCCGTGGAATAGCCAGATACGGACTCGAAATTCGCGTCTAATAGGTCTACAGATGGCGGGTGTGACGATCGATTCTGGATGTTTCTATGAGGAGATTTTCCTCGATTGCCGCCAGGTGACGCGTCGCCGACGTTGGGATCTTTCTGCTTCGAGTGGGATTTCTCTCAGCAGCTAATTGTGTCGCAGGCTCAGAGATCAGAACCCCGCCGGCGGGTTCGGTGTCCGTTCGTGCCGAAGGGGGAACAGAGGAGAATGGAAGTCTCTCGCGAACGATAGCGAAATATTCTCGTCCAGAAATTCACCTCATGAATGAATCGGAAAGGTTCCCAAAGCTCCATAACTCACCTTCGTGTGGAGTTTCGGCTCTTCATAGAAAAGATCATGGTGTGCTGGCGTTTCCTCCGCTTCTTCGTCCGTATAGGGCTTCGACTGTCTGACGAATGAGTAGTACAGTTGTCGGATTCGGGAATCCCCGATGAAAACGACATGGGTTTTGCCTCCCCAATATGACACATAACGAAGACACATCCGAGTTTCAGCGTTCGAATACGTATGCAGCATGCAACCGTACGGCTGCCAGACGTGATCACCCTGGAACCGGCCATCGCTCAGGATCCACCGACAAGTGTCGATCCCATAGAACAAGTGTATCACGCCGTGATAAATTCCCAACGACAATACGAAGAGAGCCGCAACGATTTTCGCATTCCTCGCATTGATGTGGCGGAGAAAATCTGGGTTTTGTCCACAAGAAGGCGGCGCGTAGAGTTGGGCGAGCTCGCCGTTGTGCGGAATATGCACCACGTTCATGACGCTCAGATTTGTGGAGCGCGCACAAGGTGTCAACCCTCCCCGAGTCACGGTCTGACGTCGCGTTTAGCCGGGTTCTCTCATGCTCTTCGCGGTTCTCCGGTGACTCCCAGATGACTTCACTCGGTCTTTATCGTGCAGTCGCCCCTACGTCTCGACGACAATGAGGAGGAGCGAGTCGAGCGAACGCCGTCAAAACAGCATCGACTGAGCAATGGATGAATGACGGCTCCCTTCAGTTTATGGAGTCGATTTTAACTCGAAGTCAAGGATTGACGAATCACAGGTGAACACCACGAACTCATTGTTTTGGTGCCCTCGGAGAGACAGCCACACTTTGGGAAACTAGCTACGGCCGACGGTGAGTCTCTTCTCTCAACATCGCGATTCGCACTTGACGTATCTCTTTGGATGAATGGATGAGTGACTTAGTTCGAGTGTGCAGTGCGAAAGCGAGTATACGGATTTATTTTTCTGGTGGTAGACACAGATGAGTTCTCTCTCTTCTTTCCCTTTGTAAATAAATACTAGCAGACGACAGCACGGTCGGCAGTTGTTCGGCAGTCGGCACTCGGCACACCGTCGGCAGTCGTCGGCGGCGGTGACTCGTTGTCGCTCGGTCTATGTACTGCTTCCACACGATGGAGAGGGAGCACTTATTGATCCGCCGCTTAATAAAAGTCGGAATCACCGTCGGCGCTGTTGTCTATCTGTCTATGCTCCGACAATGAGAGAGAAAAAAAGCTCCGAGCGCCGTGAGGGTCTCGTTCCAGTTTCACGGTTTTGATCTCATACTAATCTACCCCAGAGTGGCGGAATACAGCTTCGCTGTTGGTTATTCAAGATTGACAATCGCGTGGGAAACATGGCTGACCAGGTAAGCAGAGAGCTCCCTAGTCGATCGACCGGTCTCCTAGAGCTTCATCCATCATGATGTTCTTCGCTAAAAAAATTCAGGTGTCGATTACCCTCTACCGAGAGCTGTGGAAGAGAAAGAACCCGCTCGAAACGAACATTTGCTCCCGCAGACAGGACTCGCACCTCTCGTTGCCGAACACTACAACAATCGAGAAGATGAGGGCAGAGAGGGTCGCAAAGAATCCAGGATCTTGCACCTCCGGAATTTCAACAACTGGGTCAAATCAATGCTTATCAGTGAGTAGGGCTCTTCTTTGCTGGGACAACTCTCCTCTTGTCCGAAGGAGTTCGCCGGCTCTGGCGCCCCCTTGCAGAAAATGCATGTTCTGCAAGGGTTCGTTCAGTCGGAGATTTCTGCTCCTCAATCAATCACCTGCGTGACTTTGCAGAGGACTTCGTCAAGCGCGCCAAGGACAACCCGTACAAGATGCGCGGCCCGTTCAGAGTCTTAGACATCGGATCCGGAAAAGGCGGAGACCTCATGAAATGGCAAAAAGGAAACATTCAGCACCTCGTGAGCGCGGATATCGCCGAGGTTTCTCTTGAGCAGGTAGACTGTGGCTTTGATTCCTCGACGGGCCCCGAATCCTTCTCGGAGGGAGGGCTCGCTTCCCTTCCTTTCCCATGACCGATGACCGCTCCTCATAGAGAGACTGTTGAGATTCCGCCCCTCCGAACCGGACTCCTTCACTGACAAAAGGCTCCTTCCAGGCCAAGGAGCGCTACATGGACAACAAGGCGAGAGCCGACAGACAGGGCTTCGATATCTTCGACGCAGACTTCATCGTCGCTGATTGTACAAGAGATCGTTTGGTTTCGAAATATGCGAAGCCCGACATCGTTTTCGACATGGTGTCTTGTCAGTTCACCTTGCATTATTGGTGGGTACATCTCGACACTATCCAGCGAACTCTCCCAATGGCCACCTCAGTCCCGTACATCGATTCTTCCATTCTCGCTTTCCAGTTTCGAGTCCCTGACGCAAGCGCGCTGCATGGTACAAAATATAGCGGAGAGACTCCGCAAGGGAGGCTATTTCATCGGCACAACGCCCAACGCCTACGAGCTCATGTGAGTACGACCCGGGAGTTTCGGGAGATTTGAATTATTGATTTCTTCGAAAACCAAACCGCAGAGAGAATCGAGGACCGAAGGGGAGAAAGGCGAGAGCGGAGAGTTGAATTGTTCCAGACGTGGCTGGAAATTCAAGGTTCCTCGAAGGCTCATCGAAGCTTCTCGTTGTGCTTCCAGACGCCGTCTCAAGGAGTCGGACAATCTCAGTTTCGGAAACGATGTATACAGAGTCACTTTCGATTCAAAAGAAGAGTTCCCTCTCTTCGGATGCAAATACGATTTCCATCTAGAGGGCGTCGTCGATTGTCCGGAGTTCCTCGTGAACTTCGAGATGCTGAAAATCCTCGCGAAGGAGCACGGTCTACAGATTGTCAAATGCTGGACATTCGAAGAATTCTACAATGAATACAGAAACGAAGACGAAGGATCGTTTTTATTTACTAAGATGAATGCACTGGAAACGTATCCGCCCGGGCACGGGTCGCAACTCTCGGGGGAAGCGGACGATTACGCGCACGCCCAAAAGGTTCACGAGCAGACGAAGAGACCTGTGGTTAGTAGCGAGTTTTTCTTCCTCCTCTCTCACTTCAGAATCCGGGAATTGCGCTTCACACTCCCTCACAAGTGACACATAGTGAGGGCGACGAGAATATCCGTCGCGAGGAGCGAATGGACACTCCAATCCAAGCATCACGTTCTTGGATGCGACTTGTTGCTCTGTTTTGGAAAATTTCGATTCGTTTCAGGGAACGTTATCGAAACCTGAGTGGGAAGCACTGACAATTTATGTCGCATACGCCTTTGTTAAGGAATAAAGAATCGCCTCTTAAGCGCACTGATGACGGGGGATGATCATTGTGTCAATTCCAATAAGGAAAACGCGTTGTATATGCGTTTCGAGTGGTTCAGATCAGATGTGGGTAACTTCGCGGGGCCCGCGGGCCGCATTGGGCGGGCCGCATCCAGCTGGTTGATGGATCATTACCTAATGATGCATTAGGTTGCTACTTAACCATTCGAAGTTCGCGAATTCCGGAAGGGGCCGCATGCGCCCCGCGGGCCGCGAGTTGCCTACCCCTGGTTTGGATTACCGTACTGCTCGGAGAATCTCGGTGATTAATTAATTAATCTCGGAGAATTTCGTGATCTAGGAAATAAACTAACAGTTTATCTCCTAGATCACGAAACATCATCTCGAAATGTCACCGCCAGACGAACAAAGAGCCTCATCAGCGGGACTTTCGGGACATCGACGTCTGAGCTGTCCGTGACCCCAACCGGGGAGGATGCCAAGCACTTCCGGGGTATCGTCCCTCGCTGCTTCTGCTTTCTTGTTTTGAGCGTCGTCACTGGTCGATTCCGTTTCGCGTTTGATTGCACCAGCGAGAAGAGATGCCTGCGACTTGGTGATCCTTCGACTCTGACTCGGTTTTTCCGTGGGCTCGATTTTAATATCTGGCTCGCCGACGGGGTGAATAAGCCTCGAGTTCTTTCCGTTCTTCCCCACGTTCCCTGAGCTCGTTCGCCATACGAATCTGGTAGACTTGCTCCAGAAATTCCCCTTCCAACGAGTCGAGACCCTCGACGACGTGTTCGAGCTTCTTCGATTCTTCCTTTCCGGCTTTTTTGCGAGATCTTTTCTCCTCGAGTCAATCTTACAGCGGTCTGAGATCTTGTACTTCTGGTCCAGGTGCGCTCTACGGGTCCTCCGGCCTCCGTACTCGATTCACCTCTTCTTGACGCTTCTTCTCGGCCTCCTCTACTTCCGATTCGATGAAGAATTCACCGAGACTCACCGAAGAAATGAACTGCAAAATATTCCGGATAAGAGTTTTCCTCGCTCGGAAACGAATCGATACGGATACCTCGACTCGCGTACGAGAAGCATGGATACCGATGGAGGGAAAGTCGAGGGTCCGAAAACCGGCCTCGTCTCCGGCGCTTGGCTCGAGGGCGGAAGAGCTCAACGTATGAAGGCCGTTACTGGATGTCTTCATAGCCCGTAACGACCGAGCTTTCTGATCGTTTGATCCATCGAAAAACAGTGAATAGCGGAATGAGTCGGGAGTCGAGAACGCAAAGATCCAGAGAAGATTTTCTGATTCGTCCATCCAATATGAATGCTAATCGGTAAGTGAAAACCTTCGTCCAAAACACGCTCGCATAAACATGCGGGTATTTCGCGCAGACACCTCTCCACCGGGAACCTCGACTCGGCACTCAATCCGCGGGCAGAAGGCTCAGCGCGATAGCGGCGAGAATCACCCTCGGAACCGAAATCGAATCATCATGCCCGAGAATGCCTCGCGAACCGCGCATCGCGGGACATCGAGCATGGCAAGGCTGGTAACGCAGGGAGAACCGCGGCTTTATCCATGGAGCGACTTACGGCTGAGAACCGTCCCGAATCCGAACTCCAGAGATTCTCTCAGAGCGACGAGTTGTTTGGAAGTGGAGACGAGACTGAACTGTCATCATTTACGAGGACTTTCTCGCTTTACCAGACCATCCTCAGACGAGAAGGAGGGAGATCTATCGGACTTCTGATCGAAAAAATAACCGGAGAGCCCTGGTAGGCTCTAGGGAGCTCCCTCCGCAAGTTCAGAAAGATCCTCGCTCCAGATGAGCAACGGGATAATGATATAACAGTAGTGAAAGCCAATGTATGACATCACAGATCTGAATGTCCCGTTCCCTCGATGGATGCACGGAGGTCAAATTGAAGTGGACGTCGCTATGGTGGAATGTCTCCTACCCTGCGGCCACAACATACCCGGAGATTGATACGACCTCATCCAACAAACTTAATCCGGCCTCAAAAAAGACGGAGCTTCAATTTCCGGCTGACTGAAATGTTGAGCAGTTTCGAGCTGGTGGACTGAAGAGCGCGTCTGCGACTGTCAGGAGCGAGCGTTGGATTATGTAGTTAGGCATAGTTCCACGCTACCCGCTTCCCCTCTCGGACGTACGCTGAATGAACTCCGGGTTGACGTCCTCAGAGAGGCCACAGATTCCTTCCGAAATAAGCGACCGACCGCACCGCGATTGGCCGGGATTCCAATCTCTCGCCGTCTCGAACCCGGCTCGAGAGTCTGAGCTCTCCGAGCAGCTCCGCCAATGCGGTGCTCATCGAAACGGAAATCCAAAATGAACGATTTGCTTCGCGGGCGTATGGCAACGTCGACGGCGCGGCGGCAAGAGTCTAAATTTCGTCTATACTACCTGCGACCAAGGTCCTGCTGCTAAGTAAGACCTCATCTGCCGTGAGAACATCACGTGAAGGAATTCGATCTTTCTCCCCTAACTTCAAGTTCTTCTGCATATGAAGGCCATATTCCTCTCCAGCTTCCTCTCTTGGCTCACTCTCTTTGACGTCCTTTGATGTTGATCAGGGGCTCTCAGACGTGATAGACATCAGGTTCGTTCCAATTCCCAAACCCATGCTCCCAGGTGAATTTGCTAGAACGGGATCTAGCGAGCCTATCTCTTTTTGAAAAATTCTGGTGGCTGAGTGCGCGGAAGTACAGAATCAATCCGTGAGGTACTGCGAGATTTTTCCGGCAGTCGGGGCCGGATTCACACTGAGGCCGGACAGGGTTTTCTCTCCGCTTCCATGACGATCTGACAATGCAGACGATACATTTGGATTCACTCGGAATCATCAGCATCGAATAGAGAGGCTCTCAATGTCAGCTATGGATTATCTCCGGAGCGTCTCCGAAACGGGATCTTGCTCACGTCGGTGTCCCCGTAGCTGTTCGAACATAATGTCACCCAGAACATAATGTCACCCGCAAGTAGATGTAAATTCATGATCCGCTCAACCTCAGCACAGCATCCAAGCAGAGCTAAAGATGATCATTTCGAGAATGTCTGCGTATGCCTCGATTATGAGGTTCTCACAGACCGTATCGACGGGAGTACCTCGCCCCCGTCTCCAAAGATTTCTTCCGCACGGCAATCTTCAATACTGACCTTCGGAAAGCGGCGAGGTACGCCAATATGTCCTCTTGTTGTTGTTGTTGTTGTTGTTGTTGTTGTTGTTGCTGCTGCTGCTGCTGTTGCTATTGTTGCTGCTGCTGCTGTTGTTGCTGAGGCTGCGACATTTTTTGTAGGGCCAGCTCAAAAGCTCGACTTTGATGCTCTAAGGCCCGGGCAAGCGATTCACACTGTTCTCGCCAACGGTCTCTTTCGTTTTCTACTTGTTGTAGTCGTCGCTGCAAGAATGGAAATGTCCGTTTAAGAAGGGACCAAGGCCGCGACTTGTCATTTCGTTCTTGAGGCACTACATTCGGCAAATTGACAAGCTTCGATTGCCATGGACGTAGATGCCCCAAATCATGTACAATCATCTCGATACATCACGATAGGAACATATCGTTGAGGACCCGGGACTCTCATGCGGGACCGAACTTCATTGGCTTCATGAGAGTGCGTCCGAACTTCATCCTCCGTGTCGAGACTTGAGATGACAGGAGCATATCGTTGAGGATCCAGGATTTTCATCTTGAATCGAACCTCATCGGCTCCGGAAGAGTGCGGCCAGACTTTATCTTCTGGATCGGGACTTTATCGGTTGAAACTTATCTTCGAGGACCCCAAATCAGAATCCAGGATCGGAATTCATCGCGAAACTATATTTTCAAGCCACGCTTCAACTATCTATATCTCGATTTCATAATCAAAGACTGAAACAATAAATCTTCCCTCGATTCGCTTCATAGACTTCATCGCGATCTCGCGATAAGTCCCCTCGAGTACGTTGACGTAGTTCTACGCAACCCACAGGTTTGGCTTCAAGCTAAACCTGCACTGAATTTTTTAGTCTCCTCATGGCAGCGTGATCGGGTTTCAAGACATCTGCGGCTTCTCTCGTCGAAAGAGGAAACGTGGAGAAGCACTAGAGACATAACGATACAGTTTCAGCTCGGGTTCATTTGTATTCGATAAAAGGGGAGCGGATCTCCGCAGGGTTTTCGGGGGTAGATCTCGAAAGGTACTCTCGAACACTTTCAGCGTACAGTACTAGTCCTTTCTTTTGTCTCTACTGGCGGGTCGCCATCTCCTCGTTCCTATAGGCTATATGTACTGGAACGTATGGTAGATTCCGATAAGCTCCTCCCGGCCTGAAAATGCCAGAAGCCTCTACGGAATTCGCGCGGTCGCGCTAAATATCCAGCTCTATTCATTGTGGCTTCCCAAATAACTCGAAAGTGCTCGTCGATCAGATGCTATCCAGTTTGAAAAATGATTTTGATGAGAACCACCGGATTCGCCGATTGGACTCCGGAACAGCTGAGGCGGCAAATTCTGTGACTCCGGCTGATAAGTTGAGTTCATAAGCCGAGGGTCAGCTTCGGCTAGAGATTTTCCGTCGGGAAGACTTGGACCCAATGATCTGGCTGACCTGTTCCCGATTCGTTGGGGGTGATGAAACTGTTCACATTACCTGATACGGTGTTCTCGTTCTGCGTCCGCGTCTTCCAGAGGAGGATGCCTGAGGCTCCCGGACGCTAGTGGACCGAACCAGGGCGGTAGAAGGCATCATGATATCAGCCGAGCCTGGAAATCGGAAAACAATGTATGAAATAAAGGGCCCAGAGCTCGGGAATCGGGAATGACCCTGCAATGCACCTGTCTCTAGAGAAGGACCAGAAGCTCCTGCCGTAAGTCACGAGACCATACCTGGCGTGATAAGGTTGACGCTGCCTATATGGTCGTTCAAACTCATATCTGCCACTGGATGAAGGAAAGTATTTTAAGAAGCAGTCGAGGAATCGGATTAACGAATATGACTAGAATACGGATAAAGATGGGCGGCTTACATTCGTGTTTG